GGTTCGGAGCGGCGCTGCCGGACCAACCCGGCAGCCCCCAGCTGCTCTACCCCAGGGGTAGGCAAGAAAAGCCTGGTCTGCTGGGGGGGACACTAGCTGCACACCACCCCCAGCAGAGCAGGGAGACGGGGGTGGCGGGACCGCCCAAGTCCTCCACGGCTTTGCTCCGTCTCTCTGGTCTGCTGACCTGGGAGACGCGGAGCAAAGCCGCAGAGCACGCGGGCAGCGGGACAGTCAAGGCGCGCCGCGGCTGTCCCACTGCTGGCGTGCTCCGAGGCTTTGCTCCCCATCTCCCTGGTCTGCTGGTCAGACCAGGGAGACGGGGAACAAAGCCTTGGAGCATGCCCGCAGCAGGACAGCCCAGGCACGCTTGAGCTGTCCCGCTGCGGGCGTGCTCCGTGGCTTTGCTCCCCGTCTCCCTGGTCTGCCTGTACACTATAAATGCAGAGCTGCAGCAAGGGTAGGTCCTGGACCCGGCACAAGCCAAGACTTAGCTAGCCTGCTGGGCAGCCTACAAAAAATTTCCTGGCCTGGTGGCGTGGGGGGTGCGTGTAGTCTATAGAATTAACTGAGAAACTTTTGCTTATTGGTTAATCGACTTCACTATTGCATCTCTAGTATTCACATATGTGGGTGTCAGTGCAGATATCTGCAACTAATTTTTGTGGATACAAATGCAGACAGCAATTTTGTATTTGCTCAGGGCTCTATCTATCAGTTCTGATTCCAGAAAACCCTAGGGAGTTAGTTAACCATGTGCTTTAGTGCTTTTCAGCATCAAAGCCAGAGTGCTTAACACTTGGCAGGATCAAGCCTGTTAAAAATGAATCAGCCAGGCTGCGTCATTTACATTCTTGTTCGTATATCTATACGTATAAAATTATGATGACTAATTTAGTTGTTACCACTCGAAAGAGAGATCTTGGTGTCATTCTGGTTAGTTCTCTGAAAACATCCACTCAGTGCAAAGCAGCAGTCAAGAAAGCAAACAGAATGTTAGGAATCATTTTTTAAAAGGAGTAGAGAATAAGACCAATAATATCTTATTGCCTCAATATAAATCTATGGTTGTCCTACATTTTGAATACTGTGTGCAGGTGTGGTTGCCTTATTGCAAAAAAGATATCTTGACGTCGGAAAAAGTTCAGGAAAGGGATGATTGTCATGAGGCGAGATTAATAAGACTGGTACTTTAGTTTTGAAAAGAGAAGTCTAAAAAGGGATACAATAAAGGCCTATAAAATCATGATTGGTGTGGAGAAAGTAAATAAGGAATAGTTATTTAATTGTTCCATAACAGAAGAACTAGGGGCCACCAAACAAAATTAATAGGTAACAAGTTAAAAACAAACAAAAGGACGTATTTCTTTACACAACTCTGTCAACCTGTGGAACTCCTTGACAGGGGATATTGTGAAGATCGGGGCTTTAATAGGGTTCAAAAAAGAACGAGTTAAATTCATGGAGGGTAGGTCCATCAGTGGCTGTTGGCCAGGATGGGCAGGTACGATGTCCCTAGTCTCCGTGTGTCAGAAGCTGGGCAACAGGGGATGGATCTCCTCTTCTATTCATTCCTTCTGGAGCATCTGGCATTGGCCACTGTCAAAAGACAAGATACTAGGTTATATGGATCTTTGGTCTGACCCAGTATGGCCGTTCTAATGTTCTTATGTATATCAAAATATAGTCTGTCTCCACTAAATGTTGGCAATACTCTTGAGGGGGTTTTTTTCCTGCCTATATCAGCAGAATAGAGTTAAGAGTTATAGGAAGTTAATGCATCACTGGAGAGTTAATGGTTTTCCTTTTCCACCCTACCTCCCTTCCCTTAAATGTAAAATGTAATGTTCTAGTAGGTGACTCACAGCAACAGGTCTGACTGAACCTTTGTGTCCTCTTTCTGGTCTCTGAGTGTACCCCCGTCAACAGTTGTGCCTTATACCTTTATGTATCTGAGGAGAAATTTGAAATTCCTCCCCAGTCTTTGACCAGACCCTGCACTACAGAACACCTGTAGAACCAGATAAATATGGGCACTTGCAGTTCTTTCCTTCAGGGGTCTGTGGCCAATGATATATAGCAGGAGTTCTCAAATTGGGGGCCGGAACCCCAGGGGGTTTTGAGGTTATTACCTGGGGAGATGTGAGCGGTCAGCCTCCATCTCAAACTCCGCTTTGCCTCCAGCATTTATTAAGGGTGGTAAATATACTAAAAAGTGTTTTTTAAAAAACATTTATAGGGTGGCTCACACTCTCTCAGAGGTTTGTTGTGTCACCAGTACAAAATGCTGAGAACCAGTGGCATATAGTGACAAAATAGCCTTCTGAAAACAAAAGAAATGTGTGTTTTTAACAGGAACAAAGCAGAGAGAGAAGATTTTAAAACAGTCTACACATTTTGTCCATTTTCTGTAAAGAGAGACAAAGTAGGTGAGGTAATAAGATAAGTGGGTCCCATAAAAATATTACCTTACCTACTTTGCCCGTCTTATATCATGGCACAACACAGCTACAGCAAAACTGCAGATATCTTATATAAAGGCTAAACATCCCCTAGAAGTATTCTAGGCAGGTTTTCCTTCTTCAGATGCCCCCAGCCTTTGTCTCTGCCTGGATTCCTCAAACAACTACCCCATTTCCTTTGAGACAGTGTCACTTTTAAACCTAGCAATAGTTTCTTTGTTGTTCTGTGTTTCTGAGCTTTGACCCTTCTGATCAAAACCACTGCTGTAGGTTGGTTGGAGCTATAGGTAAAATCATCAAAGCCAGTATAGCTTTGGCATTGTTTCCTAATCAAACTCTCATCTATTTTCTGAGGGTTGATCTGGACCCATTATTTTCCTTCCTCGTTTTTCATGGTAACCCTCTGTATATTTGTAAACATCCCCAGATCTCTGTCATTCTGGGCCTCAACTATTTGGTGCTGCAGTAAGTTATCATTTATACAGCAGTTTCTGCCAATGATTTTATGCAGAGTGTCAATATGAATCTTATTAGTTAATGATCATTGATTAAATCCCTAAGTGTTATCCAGGCCTCAAAACCACCTCCCCCACCACCCTCGGGTTGTCTATCTGTTGAGAGCAATCAGAATGAGATTGTGTACATGTGTCACATTTCCCCTTCTCCCTTCTAATTTCAGAGCTCTTCTGTGTCTCCATCAGCTAGTTTCAGAACAGCAGAGAAGCATAGGAACTCAACAGATTACTCTTCAGAAAGCAAAAAGCAGAAAACGGAAGAGAAAGAAATAGCAACTCGTTATGTGAGTAAAACATTTGCATGATGTATTGCTAATCTAAATGGTTTTTGTAGTTGTGTCAAACACATCGGCTGTGTCTACATTGGCACCCTTTTCCGTAAAAGGGTGCCAATGTAGACACAGCCATCATATTTAATAAAAAAAAACAACAACCACCCATGGATAAATAGTAACTGGTCCTGAGCATGAATGCGAGTTGTAGCACTATCTGGCCCTTTAAAATTACAGAACATGTGAAATGCAATGCATCATGTTGTCTGGGATTCAGAAGACTTGGTTTCTATCTGGTCTTCTTCTGTGTAACCTTGGGTAAGTCACTTCATCTCTCTTTGCCTCCTTTACCCTTCTGTAAAATGGGTTTAATGAGATGTAAAGCACTTCTACATAATGTAAGAACTTTATCAACTTAAATAGGACCAAAGAAATAGGAAATATTGAACAGTTATGTGATGCTTTATGGTGCTAGATATTTTATTCTTTAAGAGACCACAGACCTGTGGATATTTATTTTTAATAATTTTGACTTGTCATTGCAGGACAGTGATGGTGAAAAGAGTGACGATAACTTGGTGGTCGATGTTTCAAATGAGGTATGTGTTAACACTGCTTCCTGTGCCTTACAATAATAGAGTGCATTTTAAGTTTCAGTGTAGGTCAGATGTATTCCTCCACAAAGTGGCTTGTAATTTCTAAAGAAATCCAGCCCCATCTTTTTATTGTCTTGGTTCTAAAATATTATTTATAACAGCAGCACTTCTTCAGAAGAGCTTCTCTCTGCTGTTTTATATAATTAAAAAATGCAATCATACCTTGCACATTTTAAAGCAGATAGGGCATTGCTATGGTATAGTGTACTGTATGTGTTGTGTTCTTGCTGTGCCACTGACCTTGAACAAGGCAATTAGCCTTTTAGATGCCTCAGTTTCCCCATCTGTGACATGAAGAATGTAATTCTTAATGACTTTGTACTAGGCATTATCATTATATTTATACGATTAACAATATACAACGTTAAGTATTTCTTGTATTTGTTTGTTATATGTATATATTTTTAAATCACACAAACCAAATGAATTATGAAGTCCAGTAATGCTAAATGTTTTATTTAGAGGTCTTCCCCAAAAGCCTGAATTACTATAGATGGGTGTTTTGAATAGGTAGGAGCATGTTACACTAACCCATGTTATTCTTTTATAGGATCCTTCTTCCCCTCGAGGGAGCCCAGCACATTCTCCAAGAGAGAATGGCTTGGACAAGACCCGACTCCTTAAGAAAGATGCACCAATTAGCCCAGCCTCTATTGCATCTTCTAGCAGTACTCCTTCCTCAAAATCCAAAGAACTTAGCCTTGTAAGTGGTTTTGAGCACTCTTGACCTATAGCAGGACACAAATGTGCATGTCCACCAGATCATATTTGCATATCTAATGGGATCTGTAAATCACTATGGGACATAATACAACTTGAGGCTGCATATAAAGGAATGAGAAGGGTTTCTTAAACTATCAATGTAAATAGATGATGGATGTGTCTGTGTTGTGGTAACTTTTTACGTGAGGGAGGAGAGAAATATGTCATTCGGAGGATGATAAAAAATATAAAGGAATGAGAAGGGTTTCTTAAACTATCAATGTAAATAGATGATGGATGTGTCTGTGTTGTGGTAACTTTTTACGTGAGGGAGGAGAGAAATATGTCATTCGGAGGATGATTAAAAAAAAGAGAGCATACCTAAGTTCCTTGATATGGAGATCTTTACTGAGTGTTCACAAATAGCTAAGGACTGAGCCTTTATTAAACACATGCTTTTTTTCCCCAAACATTGTGCTAGGCTTTGGAGGGTAACTAGTTAAAAGTTACATCATCTGAGAAAAACTCTTCTGTTCCAAATAGCTCAGCTTTCAGGCTGCTATGATGGTGATTTAATTGGTTCTTCAGACACCATGTTCTCTGAAAAGACCTGAATTTCAAATTATGTAAGGGCCACAAAAGTCATTTTGGAAGACATGAAATTCTAAGGACATAAGCTTTAGCCAAGTAAGAAGTTATGGGGCAGACGCTGTCTCTATTTAAAAGGAGTGTACCCCAAGCTCATTATAGGGCAACTCTGCCCCAGTGTGCGACAGGTATGCCTAGTCTGGGTAGTCTGAGTGCAGTCAGTCATATACACAGTGCCCTAGTTCCCCAAAAGCCTCCTAATAGAGCCATTCTCCAGCTCCTATTGTCAAATATAGCGTTGTTTCCATTCCCCTCTCCAGGGACAGCTCCTGAAGTCACCCACCCAATGGGCTAGCAGCATGCTATTATCAATTCCTTATGCCTTGAGTGAGGTAGAGAGGCCTGGCGCCTGGGACCTAAGTGACAACTCCTCCCACAACACTTCAGTGTGAGGATTCTCACTCCATGTCTTAACCCTGCCATGGGGTCCCACCCTCCTACTGCCCTTCCATGCTGAATCTCCCCCTTGTGTCTACAGGCCACTGAGCAGGCCTTCTGCTTTTGTCAGTTCTAGCTCTCGGCACTCCTAGGGCTCCTGAAACTCCTATCCAAGCAAGGTGCCAGTTCCGCCTTGCTGCCTCCTGCCTGACCGTCTCAGGCAGCTCGTACTCCACTGCCTGTGTGAGATGCTTCTCAAGCCTACTTGGGGGTCAGCTGGCCACTGAAAAGCACACTGGCCTCTTCCCTCTTAAAGGACCTTTGCCATCTTGTGACAGGCATGGAGTTCTCAGAGGACACTGCAGATGCAGCAGTAAGAAGTACAGTCTTAACACTTAACATACAGTTAGCCAACTCCTGTCAATGGGCACATTGCAAGGGGAAAGGTCACCCCTATTCCATTACCCCAGATAAGCCAGCGGGTCCCTCGGGAGCAAAAGGAAAGGATTGACTCCATTGTGCACAATGAAGAACAGATAGAAAATAAATTGTTCAACTGATTTTGGAGCATCTGCAGTGTTACCCTAATTATGAAAGCACATTTCTTGTTTTTCCCCAGATGGTGCAGAGCTGTGATGGAAGATGGAAGGACTATATCACTTATGCAGTTTAAGTTAGTATTTTAGAAAGCTGCAGCCACTGACTACTTCTAGCCCAATAATCCATTCCTTATCTCACTTGCTCGCTCTGTTAGCAATGGTGCTTACACACTTTTGGCAGATGTTCAAATAAATATAATTCACATGACTAAAAATCTTTATTTCTATTTACAAAAGTAAAGCTCAAGATCATTAAACAAAGTGTTTAGAGATGCCAAACGACCTGATACAAAGGACACATGTATCATTTAAAAACATTTTGAATGTAACACTAGAACCAGAGCAAGCATATACATGAATTCTGATCTAAAGCAAAGCCTTTTAAAGGCTAAACACTCATCATACGAGGTGCAATACTCATGGACATCAGCTCTTGAAAGAGAAGTTTACAGGCATATGGCATTCGCACTAAAGAAATCTGAAAAGGAGGAAAGAGAATTTAGTATGTAGTATCATCCTAAAGATTAACTTCACCTCTAGCTACTCAGTAAGTACATGGTCATGTCTTGGTACCAACACTGCAAGTCTAATTTGTTTGATCTAGTCTAGTGCTTCACATGAAGTTATATTTTGATAGCCCTTTGGCAAAAGTCTTTACAGTCTGCAAAGTGATGACTGATCACACTCCATCCAATGTGGCCTTACTTAATAGTGTTGACGGGTCCTCTATAGGATCCAGACTAACAAAGCAACACGGTATTGCTCCAAGACGTTTTATCTGTGCATATTAACTATGTGTTACCAGATGGTTAAGCTCCTTAGAGCCTAAAGGAATAATCGAGTTATGGTAGAGAAAAACAATCCTGTTTACAGTTTATACTTTGCATATAAGCTTCCATATTTAAATTCAAAACCTGTAATTTCCCTTCCCTTTATAAAATGTAATTGGCCTCTAATCCATTGAGCAGGCAATACAAAGCATATGGCAAGGTTTACTAATAAATTGCAGGTACATTTTCCAGCAATGCGTCTCATTAGTAGCAATGGAACACGGCGCACTGTCGCTGAAAGCAGTTCCCCATACAGGAGTGCATATTAAGTAATTTTTACTCCATCACCCCCTGCATGAAAGCAGCTCTAAATGATGAAGCACATATGTTTATAACACAAGTACAGAAGTACTTCCTAGTAGAAAATCAGAACCTCGAATGGGCAACACCTCCAACCAAAACATAATATTCTGAAGAGTTAGAGTGGCAAAGCCATGACATGAATTTTCCTGTAGCAGTTTTTTTACCCCAAAGTTAATATTTAATAGTTGCAATTAGTTAAGTTCTCCCAGTATTATAAAATACACAAGTGAAATTTCCTGCCAAATTATGCAGCCCAAACTCTAGCAATTATAGAGAAACATGAGTGAACTCTGGCATTTAGAAGAAACAAAACCTTTGCAGTTAGAGCAACTTTTGGGTGAATTTGTGTTTACTACTTGCTCTTCATCCTCACTCACCATCATACTCCTTTTCATCATTTTGGTGTGGACATCAAGTAGAAATATTTGCAGAGGAAATCCATACGTACCTGTGTTTTATTACGGCAGCCCCTGCACTCGTAAGTGTGTGTCCTTGTGTTAGCTATTGCCATTATTCCACACAGATTGCAAACGTGAACTTGGTATGGGTCTGAAGCCTCAAACAATCTCTCTCTCAAAAACTGAGCTGCTCCATGAGCAATCTGACAGTCTCGCTCCATCTCTCCGAAACGAAGGCCGCCATCTCTGCAAACGGGGGAATAAAAAGCTGGTCAGAAATCATGATTCCAGGAGCTAACGTGGAAAGTGCTGTACAAACACATCAGCAGTATCACAAGTTGATGCCCCTTTGTACCCAAACAGTGGTCATCTCTTTCCTTCCCCAAAAAATAAAGTCACCGGGGAGAAGTCAGCCAAATTAATAAAACTGCTGCTCCTACTACCAGTCCCCAGCCTAAGAACGTTCCCACAAGATATGACAATGTAGTGTTTGAACCACAACCCCCCCAAACTGATACAAAGGACTAAGTCATGTTTTACCTGTCCAAACCCAAGCACACTGCAACCAGCTCCAACTGGATACGCCAATTTAGATCTAGGTACACAGCCGAGGCAGCGAATTCTTCTCTACTTGAGCAACTCAACAAAGGGACTTGAAGGATTCATAATACAGAAAATCCACAAAAGTTCTTACCGAGATCTGCCTTCCATTGGTTGCCTGTTAAGAATCTGAATGGGCCCTCTTGCTCGAGAATGAATTTTGTCATCTACCATATGTTTCAGCCTCTGATAATAAGTAGGACCAATGAAGATCTGTGATGTGATTTTGCGTCCAGTGAAGCCGTTGTACAGAACCTGAAGTAAAGCACACAGTCACTGCAGCCCAAGCCTAAAATAGACATATTAACAAAGTTTATTGGAACAGACCAATAAAGTTTAGCTAGACTGGCATTTTGAACACACTACCTCATTTCCTCGGAGATGATAGCCATAATCTGAGAGTAGATTGGAAATCTTCTGCACATTGACAGCATCATTAAAAGGTGTAGCATCACCAATTTCTCCCTTGTTTGCCGATACCTAGGCAAAAAAGGCTTTGCTGAGTACTGTGAGTTTTATACACACAAGCTGTGCCTTCTATGTGTGAGTAGGCAGACATCATGCAGGCACTTGAAAAAGCTAAGCTCCTCCCGCTCTTAAGATTTCAGGCCCAATGGCCAGGACTGTATCCAAACAGCTTTCTAATGCAATGGATATTTTTCTGTTGAACAAAACTTAGATGTGGGATTTTCAGAAGCACTTAGCTCTAGCCTAACTCTTACTGCTTTGCCATAGATTAGGAGAATGCTTAAGGATTTTTAGGGTTACCTGTGCTTCTGTAGTAATTCCGTCAATAAAAGCAACAGAGAAATTCTGCTATAAAGGCATGGTGAGTCTCTAGGTCCTCCATATGGATTAATACCCATTTCCTTTTGCTACTAGAGCCTCAAATGGGAATCTGTCATTCTTTAGCGGGTTAAGAAATACTGGGAACTAGCAGATCTGTCCACAAGGGCAAACAAATGCAGTTTGCTTCTCAGAGTTTAGCTCTCCTTACCTTCCCTTGAAGACATTCAATCAAGTGACCAATTGTCATACGGGAAGGGATGGCATGAGGATTGATGATTATGTCAGGGGTGATACCTTCACAGGTGAAAGGCATATCCTAAAGCAGGAAAGAGATTCTCATTATGCCTTGTTAGAAGCTAGGAAGATCCAACAAAATAAAAATCCAATTCAACTTCAGAGATTCAAAGACTTTTTAAACAATAAGAACTGAATAGAGGTTAAATTTAAATCCATAGATTAAGGTAACATTTTGCAGGCAATCCACATTTATAAGCAACTTTCACTGAGATATACAAGCATGAGAGGAAAAGACATCGCTACCTCTTGCCTGTACTGGATACCACAGGTACCCTTCTGACCATGCCTGCTGGCAAATTTGTCTCCAATTTGTGGGATTCTCACAGAACGCACCTGGAGGCACTAAGTGTCTTTATATATATATATATATATATATATATATATATATATGTTTTGTACTATGGTTTTTATAGTACTTTCAGCTTGGATATGATTTGATTGGTAGCTTTGTTTGGATGACGAGGCTATATACAACTGTCATAATTTTCATTTTCTGTCTGTCATTTATGAGAGTCCTCCTTGACTTGCATCACAAATCACAATGCAAGAAAGGGTTACTTGGGAGTGTGTGAGAAGGTCTCTTCTTTTGTTGACCATTGTTTATCACGTTCCTGACCTGCACTGTAACTCTTCCTGCATATCTGTACCTTTCTACTTCTCACATCATTATTTAAAGCAGTTCTGTGGTGACTGTAGTACTCAGGAAAGGTGCTGGAGTCGTAGGTTTACATGCAGAAGTTGTTGTTTGTCCACCAAACAGGCATACCACAGTAGTGCCTGTACCAGATTGCTTACTCCAGTGGCTCCCAAACATTTTTTTTATACTGGGGACTGGCAAACTCATTCACAAGCTTTTGGCAGGCCAGCAACATTTTATTTTAAAAAAATTTGCATGTTCATTATGAATATGCATCTATGCAAATAAAATGTTGCCGGTCAGCCAAAAGTTTGTGAATGGATTTGACGGTCCCCAATATAAAAAGCCCCAACCCCCACGGACTCCAGTACCAGCCCTAACCCCTAGAGTCCCTATCTCCTCCACTACCCCCGCAGTGCCATCCACTGACCCCAGAGTCCCCTGTCCCAAATTCCTCAGTTGCATCCTTCTGTTTCCAGAGCTCCAGTGTACCCAGTCCCCCCTCTGCCAGATCACCCCGCTGCCAGTCCCCAATATTTGCCCTGTCCTCAGCGTCAGCCCTGCCCCCTAGCTTCCTCACTACTAGCTTCATCCCCAGAGTCCCCTAGTGCCAGCTTCCCATCCTGGATGTCAGTGCCCCTCAA